CCCGGCCCGGCCCACGCCCGGGCGCAGCGCCGCCCCGCGAGGATCCCGGCTGCGGGGAGTTCGCCGGGTCCAACCCTGGCGCCCGCAGCTGCACCCGGAGGGAGGCGGGGCGGAGACTGCCAGGCCCCGCTTGCGGCACCGCCGCCCTCCACCTGCTCCCCGAGCAGCCGCACCCTGGCGGAGGCTCAGTCGGGTCCCGGACTCTCGAACCCGTCCTACCTTGGTGGCTTCAGCTGCTGCCCTGGTCCCGTAAGACCCAACCCGCGGCCGCGAGGTTCAAGCCACTGAATGTCTGAGAAGGGGCACGGGGGAATGGCTGGGGCCCAGGCCCCCGCCGCGACCAAGCCTGGGAGCTGGCCTGCTGTGGCCTCCCCGCCAGGCCTCTGCGGGAGAGGCAGCCAGGCTTTCGGAATGCTGCGCTGGCAGCGACGGACGCCCATGGGGGTAGGGGGTTGGCCATGCTGACAGGAGGCTGCAGAAGACCAGGGCCAGGCCCAACAAGCGAGCGCGCAGTAGGATGGGGTCGTGGGTGAGGGCCTGTGGACCACGGGATGAACAGCTGGGCACCACTGCTGGACGGCCCCTGAGGACTTGCATCACACAGAGGTAGTTCTGCGACCCCCACTGACTGCATTGCCCCTCCACCCCCACCCCCCACCCCTCTCCTTCAGCTCATCTGGGCCAGCTACAGGAGCCCGGCAGGCACCTTAGCCTGGGTGGCAGGGCGCATGTTGAGCTGTAGGATGAGAATGGAGGAGGCGGGCCCTGGGTAGGCCATGAACAGTCCCATGGTCTCCTGTGACCCAGACAGGTTCAGGGCAGGGGCAGCATTGTGCACAGGACACACACTTGGGGACGACGGTGGGGACACCATGTACCCTTGTGCACTCCCTCCCAGCTCTTCCAGCACCTCACTTGACTCAAGGTGGATCCTGGCATTGACCTGGGAGATGGCAAGGACTGTGGATCCACTGGTTGGACAGAGACAAGGCCCAGAGTGATGCCTGGTCAGGAGGCCAGGAGCAGGCCTGCAGGAGCCCTGAGTAATGCCTGTGAGCTCTGCAGAACCATCCAGCTGAAGTGTGGTGTGTGGCCAACGTGACCAGGGAATGGCCTTGGCTACCAGTCTGGCTGGAGGAGGGGTTAAGCAAAGGGGGGAAGAAATGGGGGCCCAGCGTCCCTAAAGGCCCCACCCCACCCTTGGCTGTTTCCTGGCCTGCAGCAGATGGGCTGGGGAGCCCCAGGCAGAGCCTGAGCTCTGGGAGCCTGTTGGGGCCTAGTGGCCCCAACCAGTCCTCTAAAAGGGGCTTGCACATGGAAGAGGGGCACCCCTCAAGGCCAGCAGGGACTGGAGTTCCTGCAGTTCAGTGCCTGGGTGTGGAACAGCTGGGCCCTCACCTCCTGGAGGGACATGTGGAGGTGCTGCCAAGGCCTCAGGGCAAGGGCCCTTCCCACATTTGAGGCTGGCAGTTCTTAACAGTGTCCCTAGGCAGCTCAAGTTCCTCCCTGACAGCTGGGGACTGGGGAAGAAGGGAGAGCAGACTAGCAATGCCAGTGTGCATGCGGTCTCAAGCTGCACAGCTGGCGGGTGGCAGCAGACCCAGGGAGTTGTCCTGGCTCTGCAGCCTGGCACTCGGGCCACCAAAGTGGGGCGGGGCCTAATGTAAGCTGCAGGCTGCAGTTCCTCTGCAGCCCAAGCACTGCAGCCTGGTAGCAAGGCCTCCCTGGCAGCCCACAGGATCCCCTCCTGCCCTGCTGGCTCCAGGGATGCCGTCCTGCCTGGAGGCAAGGCAGGGGCCACTTGGTTCTGAATATTTATCCACCCTTCTAGGCAGGATCTGTGCTTGAGCTCACTGGAGCTCAAGGGGCCTGGCCCCTGCAGGGCAGAATCCTCTCGGGTCTGCCCATTCCCTTCACCACCAGGGCTGAGAAGGGCGGGCACGGCTCCACATGCAGCATGGGCTCTTCCTACGGGCTGCAGAACTGGCGTGTCATGGCTGTACATGGGGCTGAGGGTCTCCAAGAGGCAAAAGTGCTTGTCTCTGGCTCCAAACCTGGCACGGAAGCAAGTGAGCATGGCTGTGACCTTGTGCCAGCCCCCTGGCGAAGAGCAGCTCCCAAAGCCTTCCCCATGTGGCCGCCATAGTTACCTTGGCCTTGCACCCAGCAGGCAGGGCCCAGGCTGAGCACAAGCGTCTTACAGGGCACCTAGCTCCTCCTCTACAATTACTATAAACCAAAGCTTGCAGTGACAGTTTACAAATGGCCTGACTTGGGAGGCTGTTAATTTAAAAAATTCACTGCCTGAGGAAGTGGGCTGCATTTACCAAGAAAGCACTTGTGCACGCGCGCATGTGAGAAAACATCACTGTGTACCCATCTCTGTCAGCGACATGCCAGTCAGTATGGCAAGCTGCTGCTCAAAAGTGGAAGCTATGGGGACGTGCGTTGAGGGGATGAGGGGGACACAGCCCTCCCTCCATGGTGGAGAGCTCTGTGTGCAGGTGACAAAGCCTGGAGGGACCAGAGTGTCCAGCACCACTTGGGCCCACACAGTGCAGCTAGAGAAGGAAGGGGAGCAGGAGGGAAGGCCTCGCCCTGGCCAGGTCGGGAGGAGACTCAGGGTTTCGCTGCTGCCCACTCAGAGAGACGAGCTGAGGCCAGGGTTGCTGCAGACAGCAGAGACTCGCAGACCCGCACAGACTCAGACCAATGGTCCATTTTAATTCCTACAAGGCCCCTCACATTCAGGAAAATTCAGCTCAAAAGTATACAAATTAGACATTGGTAGTATGTACAAAAGTATTTTCGTTTTTTGAACAATTTCAGCTATTTTATTTGCAGTAAACAATGTTACAAAAACAGTTCAATAATGCATTTTCTATTAAGCACATTACACAACATAATTCAGTATTAAAAAATAACCTCAAAATACAGACCAATCTGCTGTAGGAAGAAAAACTACTTCAATAGTTCACTTAGTAAACACACAAGTCCAACACTGCAGCAGGGCCACCCTTTCCATGGAAAAACACAGGCTTCCAGGGCCTCCCCTCCAAGGTAAAACTCTCACCCACCCCCAGCTTCAATGAGACTCTGATGAGACTCATGCACAACTGGCCTTAGGATGGGTCTTCTCTGTGGCCTAATGCAATTCACATGGACCCTTAAGATAGGAGAAAGAGAGGTGAAGCATCAGAGCAAGGGACTCCAGGGGCCACTGCTGGCTTGGGGATGAGGGGACCATGCAGACAGGGTACAGAGCTACCAAGAAGCCTTGGGAGAGGCCGTCGGCTGGTGAGCAGCAAGGTGCCAAGCCTGCCTGTGATGCATGAGCCCGGAAGCTGGGCCTTCCAAAAGGACAACGCCACCAGTCCCCCACCCTCTGCCTTGGAGACAATGAGCAGAGAACCCAGTCAACAGATGGGTGCCCGTTAAGGTGGCTCATCTGTCACACATGGCCACAAAGAGCTAACACACTGCCACAGGTCACTTTTCTTCACCCCACTGGATTTGGCAGTTTCTATGCAGGTTCTGAGTGCCTTTTTCCTCAACAAGTGCTATATTAAAACAGTATCCTCCTTTGCAGGCAACTTCTGAAAACCCTTCATATGAATTACCTACTGCTTTCTATATTCATTTTTGACTCTGTCCTGTTCCCTGATGCATCGTTGTCTACTGCGGTGGCAGCCAAGTGCCTGCCAGCCCTGATCACAAGTGGTCCCTCCTGCGGGTGATGGCTTTGCTGTCTTGCTTCTCGTGCTAAGGACTGAGCCCAGAGAGCTCTAGCACAGAGCTTTCCCTCCAGCCCGGAGGACAGCGGTAACGCATCCACTGTCACCTCTGCATCCTCTGGGCGTCAGATCCCACAACTGAGGTCTCCGCTACTTCCCAGGCAGAGGCCTAGGGCAGCAGGGCAGACTGCGGCACCAGACTTTTGACAGGAATTTCTCCTGCCTACCTGGATTAAATTGGCACTAAGGTGATTAAGTACACTTGGGGAAAAACCTCAAAGTAAAGATTAAAGAAAAAAATTACACCAGTTTTTACAGGTTAACTTATTTTTAGAAGAACCATCCCAAGCCATGAACAGGATCTCTGTGGAACCCTGGGCTCTGCCTTGGGTGTCCTGTGTCACACCCGGCTCACTCTGCTGGCCTAGAACCCAGCAGAAAAGAGAAAGCACACTGGTCAGAGCAGCCTGCCTTTGCATGGGACGCCCCTTCCCTGGAGGGTTAAACCCAGCCCTGCACAATGTCTGTGGGCTGACGGCAGCTACCGTTCTGGTGCTGCTGTTGGACGTTCTTCAATCCTCTCCTCCAGAAGCACACGTGCAGCAGACCAGCGCAGGGAGGTCACAAAGCCCCTAGGTCACTCTTACTGCTCCAGGGGACCCCAAACCATGCTTGAGAGAAGTCCCTTCCACATTCAAAGTGAAGACAGCGCAGAAGAAACCATTTTTGGTGCCCGTGAATTAAAAAAACAAAAACAACCTCCCCCACATCATCCTCGTCTATGGAGCAAAGGATAATGCCTAAAGAGGCGGCAGCAGAAGGCACCGAGGAAGCACCAAGGCATAAGAAGCTGGACTGGAGTGCTCTCTACCACCTAAACTTCTGTGAAAAGCAAATACAACAGGCTCTCCTCAGGGCAGTGGAGGAACTTAGGACAACCACCAGCCGGCAGCAGTGCAGCCACGGGCAGCCTGCTCTGAGAAGGCCGCGGGACTGGGACAAGCACTTCCGCCCTGGGCGGTTCTCCACACAGCTCTCTGGCAGCAAGTATGCTAAAACCTGAAAAACGGGCAAAAGGAATCTGTGTTCTAAGGAAACTGAGATGGAGAAAAAGTCTACCCAAAATAATATTACAAATTATACTTACATAAATCTCACAATTCCTTGATTCAAAAAAAAAGAGAATTCCATAGTTGGCTACTGTAAAACGTGGCATAAAAATATTTCTAAGAGACACATCCATACTTAAACTCCTCTACACGTTCATACAAAGGAGTGACTAGAAGTGTCTTTCTCTGAAAGTCACCTCTGACAGCAAAGTAGTAAGTACAACAGACTGTCATTCAGTTTCTGAAACTTTTAAGTTATCAGATATTTACAACGAAATATAATTTATATCAAAAAGGTCATTTTCAACTATATCTGCTGCTTTCACTGGGGCTCCGGTGATGAGAGTAACTTCGGTCACTTTCACTGTTAGAGCCGTAAGATCCACAGCTCCTGTGGAGCAGAACAGAACAGAACAGGGTGCACAGAGGTCTTCACTCTTTACCCTTGGAGCCCTCCCACGGCTTCCACACACTACTGACCACCCAGCGCAGAGGTGGACACGGTTCCCACTGTGGCAATGCCACTCACTCCTTTCTTGTTTTTGAGACACGATCTCACTATATAGCGAGGACTGCCCTTGAACTTGTGGCAGTCCTCCTGCCTTGGCTTCTCAAGTGCTGGAATTACAGGCGTGTACCACCATGACTAGCGATACCAGTCACTTCTCAAGGGTGTTTAAACCACAACTGGAGACAACATCAAGGGTAAAACAAACCTCACAGCATGGGGAATTTTACTGGAAATACACTCATGCATGTGAGCAGAATTATTTTCAGTGGTATCTCAGATGAGACCCAATATTTGATTAGACTGCCTGAGAAGAGGGAGATGCACACACAGGTTTTTGTTTTTCAATTATTTTTTCAAAAAAAAAAATTTTTTTTTTCATTTATGTATTTGGTACAGGGCTCATTACCCAACTTGGACTTATAGTGATCCTCCTCTTTTCAGCCTCACCAGGGCTAGGACTACAGGCCTGCGCCACCACACCCAGACTCATTCCCTGGCTGAGCCTGCCCCAGGGGTGGGGCTGGCATGTGAGACCCGGGATGCAGACATAGCTCTACTGAAGGCCTAGGCCCCAAACGGAAGCCTCGCAGAGGTGGGGGTACGTCTGCATGGGACAAGAGGACCTGCCTATGGTCACAGCTGTGCAGTAAGCTTAGAAAAAGTTGAAGAGCCAGCCACAGACCGGGCATGGTGGTACACACGTGTAATCCCAGCCTTCAGGAGGCTGAGGCAGAAGAAGAGTTTGGGGCCACCTTGGGCTACACAGTACGTTCAAAGCCAGCCTGAACTGCATAGTGAGACTCTGTCTCACTGTTACAAATATAGACCAAGTATGGCCAACATGGATCACACATAAAGAACAGATGGCAAGAAAGGGAGCGAGGGCAACAAGGACTCCAATGAGGACACAGCGGCTGCCTCCATGGTGGTAAGGAAGAGGATGTTTCAGGACTGGTGGGGGTGGTAGGATGCAGCAGAGACCTCAAAGTAGGTGAGAACTGGTCATTTCAGGATGCAAAGAGAGATGGAAAGGACACGTGTGTCTCTACGCAAAAGGAAAGGGTCAAGAATTGAAGATAGAGGGCTGAGGCAAGGGCCCTGTAGGCCTGCTGTACGCCCCAACCAAGATGCCCAAGCACACCACCACCACAGAGAAGCCCTGCAGGCATGGGGATTGGGTGGCAGTGTCAGGGGCCACCAGAAAGGGTTAGTTCCAACGTTACCACAGGGACCTGCAGTAATCAAAATATTACATAAACCACAATATACAAACAAAAATTATTCTACTACACTGACAAAAGAAACTTCAATGTTACCAGGAAGCCAATGGCTATGACGTGTCCTGTATTACTTTTTATCTTATTTAAAAACTGGCAACTTGGCTACTGCAATCGAGTAGCCTGACTTTAGGAAGTGGCTGGAATGTAGTGGCCTTTTCTTTCATCTTTCCTAAGGAAGTGTATGTCCAATGATTGGTGAATGTTTAAAACTCACTGAGATCGAATGCAAACAAAATCCAGCAGATATTACCTGGCAACTCTTAATGCCAAGGCCACTTTCAGCAGCTGCCTACAGTACTAACATGCAGGAAGGAAGGATTCCTGGCCTTGGAAGGCTATGCTTTCTCCCTACGAGCAGTCAGTGCCTGCTGCACTGAGAGCCCACAGTAACTCCAGGGACCCAGAGGAGGGGTCCTTAGCCAGGCATGCTGGCACACACCTGTAACCTCAGTGCACAGGAGGATGCTCATGAGTTTGTGGCCGGCCTGGGCTACCCAGCTCGACCCCATCACAAAAAATCAGGCTCCCCTACCCCCATAAAATAGAAATGACAGAAGGACCCACCTAGACCACCTGTTGTAACTTCTGCCTCGGTGGTAACTGTCACTCCTCTGGCTTCGACTGCGGCTTCGGCTCCTGCTGTAGGAGCTGTCGTAAGTGTAGGACCTGCTTTAACAGCAACAGCACACATTCAATTTTCCCATTCAACAACTGTATTCCCACTCACTACCTCTTAGCCTAGAACACAGGCACACGGTGACAGCATGAGGACACAGGTACAGCAGCTGCCCCTGTTAGACCTATCACACTAAAGAGAAAAGCATTTCTTTCTGCATTGAGGAGGACATTTTTTTAAAAATGTATTTGGTACAGTGTCTCACTACACAGCTCAGACTCATAGTGATCCTGTCTTCAGCCTCTCCAGTGCTGGGATTACAGGTGTGTGTCACCACACCCGGTCTCAGTGGCCTGCTGAGCACACCAGGGGCAGGGCTGGTGTAGCATATGGCCTGCTGAGCTATCTCACTAGCCCTTCTGCACTGAAAAATAATGCAAAACTAATACCGAGTCTGAGTGACTCAGATGGACCTTACTAGGCAATTATATCTAACAAACACCTGCGGGCACAATTTGCCATTGTCATTTTTTCATCAGCATGAAATGGGCCAAAAGATTAAAAACTCAAAAAGACCTCATTTAGAAATATTATGATTTGAGGAGAAAAATAGGCATGAAGCTATTGAATGAGAAATGCCACGTTAGGGCCAGTGGCAGAGGGCAGGTGCTGGGCTCCAGGACCAGTACTGGCAATGAGATAACAAACCCCTCCGCCCCAGAAGGGTCTCTGTACTCTGCTCCTGGTGGGACGCCCATCCTGTCCTACCTGGACCTGCTGCGGGCGTCGTAAGAGCTGCTCCTGGATCTGCTCCTGCTGGACGTCCTGTGGGACCACAGGGAAAACATCATCTTGGGGACAGTGACCAGGCTCATAAGAGTCTAGACTAGTTCTCAGCCATCCGGGGGCACCCTGGAACTACTTTCCCATCCAAAGTCCTCTCGAGGACCTGAAAACCCACCAGATTTCGTAAGAAAGATGAAACTTTGGGCCATCCTCACAAGTCATGCATGAGACAGTCACTGGGAAGGCTCTGACCCAGGCAGGCAGTGGGCCACGGCTCCACACATAGGCAGCAACGAGTACAGTGAAGTCACAGCCTCACACACATTCACAGTCCCAGGCGGAGACGCAGGGAGCAGAGCACAGACACCCCTCCTCAGGACCCCGTCATCCTCCTGGGGCTGCTCCCTAACCTGGGCTAGGCGACTAGTGTGCCCTGGGTAAATGTACTAGGGCTGAAGAGGGAGTGGCAGCCTCCGCCCACTCTGACAAGATCCCACTGAGGAGCACCCAGGAGGAGTGGCCCCAGGCCCTACAAGCCCACCTGTGGCTGTCATAGCTTCGGTAGGATCGGCTGCGGCTGCGGCCTCGGCTCTGCCATCCTCGGCTCCGGCTTCTGGAGTAGCTTCTTGATCTGTGAAGAGAGTGTGTGAAAACACCAGTGTACCAATCACTCTGCTACACTGGCACTACGGACACCACCAAGGGAGGGACACCGCCTATAACCTTTGGGCAGTGGCTGTGGCACTGGCACCACTAATGTGGTAACTAGAAATGAGTGCAGCTTCAACTCAACAGAACGGAAGAAGGGAAAGCCACCACTGACTGCAGCACAGCAAGGGCCACACAGCACCAGCTCCAACCCAGAGCGAGGCAAGATCCAACTGTGGAAGTGAAACGCAGGTCAGCCCGCAGCGCTGAGTGAGAAGGGCCTCGGACAACACCTTCACGTGGGAAGGCTTTCATTTATAAAAGATCTCAGAAATGCAAAAGTAAGACCATCTACAGAGAAAGGTTTATAGATGGAAAAGCAGGAAAATTATAGCACAAATTTCCAATAATGGTTAATTCCAGGAGGGCAGAGAGAAAGTAGGGTGGTACTGGTGTATCAGAGCTCTATTTTTTACACTAGATGACAGGTACAAAAAGATCCATTATGTTATTTTTTTTTCGAGCTTTAAATCATTTATCTTTGGCATCCACCAACAATCAGACAACTGACTTCTTTTTCATTGATAGCAGTAGTTTCTTAAATTAAGCCAAAATCTCTTCTCCTGAAATCCTCACTGCCTATGCCCTCAGTCCCATTATAGATACCTGGAGATTATAATCTTGTCCCTCACTGTGACACATTCCCCAGTTAAGGAGGAACACATGCCCCTTTGGGGAACAAAAGAAAAATGAACACTGCTTACCTATACGATGACGTGGAAGTTCTCGAGCGGCTTCTGGAGCGACTGTAGGAGATGGACCTGGTTCTGTGTCGGGATTTGGTTTCAGATTTACTGCGAGATCTACTTGGACTCCTGGACTGACTGTCACCGTCCCGACTAGGTGTCTGCTCGTCACTTGAACTTTCCTGATTTCTTGGTCTCCGGTTTAGGCGTGCTGTCTTCCTTACTTCATCAAAGAGCGACCCAGGGCGAACTTTGTTTTTGCTTTTGATTTCTATCCTTAAGCCTTGGGGTTTCATCTCAGGTCCCACGGCCAGGGTCTTTGCCTCCGTGGCACCGGCTGTGGAAGCAGGGGACGCCCACAGGTTCCCCGCACCCTGCAGAGGCTTCCATTTGTTATCCAAGAGGCTGCCCTGGCTCCGCCCTGCTGCCTCGCTCTTCCCAGCACCTTCACTGCCACAGGCTGCACTGCTGTCTGGCTTCCCCCTTTCTCCCACTGCTCTGCTCTCCATCGTGCTGCTTTCCTCTCTCGTGCCGTCTGCTTCAGGAGCCTCCCTGTGCAGGTCTGGTTCCACACCACTCATCTGTGGGGCGCCTAGCCTTGAACTAGCCAGAGGGGACGCCACCTCTCCCTTTGCTGGGGAGCTCCTCTCAGGTGTGCAGATCTCCATGTTATCATCTGTCTGAAGCACACCCTCTGCTCCATTTGGGGTACCTTCTTCATGCTGGGTATTTCGGGGCACACTAGCCCCCTCATCCTCAGGCTCTAAAGCCGTAGAACAAGTGCCAGGCTTACTGTCACCTTTGGGCAGCTGAGTGAGGGCTGGGGAAGCACTCACTGTGCTGTGCTGACCTGAGAGCCTGCCTTCATCACAGGCTTTCTCAGTGTGGGGAGTGTCGTTTCTGCTCTCAGAAAGCTCTTTCTCTTCCTTTGACTCCGGAGTGACTTGCTTTTCGTGAGTCTCCTCCTCTTCCTCCTCCTCCTCCCCAAACTCTAGTGGAGGCTGCCAGTGAAATGCTTGCTTTCGTTTCGGAGGCTTGTGCTTCTTGTCTTTTTTCCCTTTTCCTTTCTCCTTCACTTTCTTGGTATGAGCTCTTTTAAGACTTTCCTTTGACAAATGTTTGTGCTTCTGTGGCTTCCCTCTGTTGTTTTCAGAGTTAGAATCTGAGCCCTCAGAGGCAGAGGTCAAGGGCCGCTGCTTGCTGGATTTCCAGGCCCCATGGTCGGGCAGTGACGCATTCGCTGGAGATTTTGTCTTGGGTTTGGTATGAACTGCACTAACCTCTGATTCAGAATCTGATGTAGCCTCCCCTTCCTCCTTATCAGAAGACCTCCAGGAACGCTTCTTACCGTTTTTAGTTACATCTCGTTCTGAATTTGACTCAGAGTCCCATTTACTTCCAGCATAATTCTTCCTTTTGGGCTTACTGCCATTTCTAAAGTGATCAGAAAGATTCTCTTTGGAATTTTTTTTTGAACCTAAGTATTCCGGTTCAGCTTTGGTTTTCTCTGCATCTCTGCCTTTCGCCTGTTTATTATTCGCTATCTCCATTCTGCTCTGCTTCCCTTTTTCCCGTGCTGAATGTGTGGAGCCCTCCACACCTGCCTGCTCACTGTCTGTAGAAGACTCTGTGGATGACCTGTTCTCACTACGCCTTCTTCTCTGTCGTGAAGACCGGTCTTTACCTTTGGCATGTTTACTGTATGGTGTCTTCTCGGAGCTTCTGCTGTGCCGTTTATGGGAAGTGTTACTTTTTCTCCCACTGGATCTCAGTGTCCTCCTGGTCCGTCTCTCCTCAGCACTGCTAACAGAAGTGTATGAAGATGACCTACTGCACTGGGAACGGTCACTGTACTTACCTCGTGAACGAGACCTAGAGGATGGAGACCGGGACCTAGAATGTGAACTAGCTCGACTGCGCGACCTTGTGTAGGATCGAGAGTAAGATCTGCTCCTAGAAGACCTGCTCCGTGACCTTGGGGAGCTTTCAGAACTTCTATCACTGTATTTTGAATAAGCACTCCGATCACTTTCTGAATTTTTTCCTCTTTTATGGTAGGATGATGAACTGCCAGTCTCTTTGACATTTGCCAAACTGTAAGTACTTTGGATGGGCAGCAAATGAGTTGTTTTAGCTTTCATTTCCTGAATTCGCTCATAGGAGGGTTTCCAGGGCTTCTGCCCAGGCTTCCACCTTGAAGGGGGAGGACTGTCACTCAGTGGTATTACTGGAATATTTTCTGTTACTACTGATTGTACCACTATGTTTTCATTTTGTGGCACTGTAGCTCTTAAAGATTCTGTTTTGACTGGTTTATTTTCACTTAACTGAGAAGTTGTTCCTCTTGGTGATTTTGAGGCTGTCCTTTGGTGCCCTGACTTGGAACTAGATCTGGACTTGGATCTACTCTGAGAATGGGATGAGGATTTTGATGCAGTCCTTGATCTGGAGCTCCCTCTAGAAGAGGACCGAGAGGGAGACTTTGATCTGTAGGAATCCCTGCTGGAATGTGTGGAAGAGCTCTGCTCGTCTTTGTCAGATTTAGACCAGGCCCTCTTTGATGAGTGATGGGATGAGAAGGAGGAAGAGCGGGACCTCCGTTCTCTATCACAGGGGGACTTCATCTGTCGAGTGGAAGATTTGGAAGATTCTATGTCAGACAGTACAACTCTTCTCTTCTTGGGCTGTCTGTGTCTTCTATAGTGTTTCTGCTTTTTGGCTTTCTTTTTATGCTTCACTTTTTTTTCCTTTCTGTGTTTTTTACGGTGACCATCGGAGTGCCTTGCTATACTAAGGTCTGAGTAATATCCACTATAGGACCAAGACCTAGATCTCTGTGACAGGCTTCTCTCATCCCATCGACTTGAGGAGGGGTCGCTTAACCTACAGACAAGGACATGATATGAAGTCACTGGGAAGCACACTTTCAATGCCTTCACACAGTTCCTGCTGAAAACAGTATCAATCAAAAGATTCACGGGCCTGGTCTTAATCTTACACTTTTAGAGATGAATAACAATTGGTGGCAGATTCACTTACAAAAAGCTTTTTAACTTTTCAAGTTAGAAAGGAAGTTCCAATTTTCAGAGAAATGGGAAAACCAAGTCAACTCATCCCAAGAGCACCGCTGCCAGGCTGAGCTCCCGGCTTGGATCTATCTGCTCACAACCCTTTTCTTCTGGAAGTAGTTTTTGAGGGAGAGTCAAAGTTAGTTCCCCAACAATTCTGTTGTATCTTTTATGGTGCTAGAGATCAAATGCAGGTTCTCACAAATGCTAAGCAAATGTTCTACCTGAGCCACACACTCTCAGCTCTTGCCCAAACTGTTAGGACTAGCTTCTTGTTCTGAAGACGCTATCATGATTTGTTTTCCATCCTCGTCACAGAGGCTATCCAGACTTGCTTCTAACTACTTAAAATAGAAACTGAGGAAAAAAAGACATGAAAACTGATGGAGGCAACACCAGGGCTGAAATCGAGACTCCTCAGCACCACTGTGCGTCAAGCAGACACAGGTCTTTCTGTCTCAACCCACGGCCAGCCATACTGTGAGACACCACAGAGAAGACGAAGGATTACACAGGGCTGCCTGGACGTTTTCCACTGGCTATCCTGGGGCCAACCCCATGTTTGGAACAACCACTGTGGGAGATCTCTGAGGTAAGAGGCAGGTGGCCTTCTGAAGAAGAAACGGTCTGTGGGCACATAAGGACAGGTTTTTCTATCTGCTCATTAATTTATCAGTAATGACTCCTGGCTAAGAAAGAATCTGCTACAGTATAGACTTTAAAGTCCTGATACTGACCTTGTGCTTGCCAGGAATGCACTCATGCCAGTATGCTACCTCCCTGGCCCCTGAGATACCTATGAATGTAAGCAGGATGGTTTGGACAACTGCACTGTGGATTACTGTTGGCCTATGGAAAGAAGCAGTTAAGGCTTAATTTGTTTTGTCTCCTGTTTTTAATTGTTGGTACTTTTTATCTTCTTAATTTCTTATATATTTCTTCTTCCAATTTTGCATGCATGTATCTGATAATATGAATAACTGGCTGGAAGACAACACTGTATTACAACAAATATTGTGAAATTTATATTATTTTAAGTGAAACCTGTATCACTTGCAATTTTTCTGTTTGAATACTATTTTGTACTGTCTTTTAAAAATATAAAAAACTGAAAAAAATAAAATGCAAAATAGTAAGTGTCAAAAAAAAAAATCCTGGGGCTGGAGAGATGGCTAAAGGGACTAAAGTGTCTGCTTAGGCAAGCTTAGGCAAACGCAGGGACCACAGTTCAATCCCCAGCACGACATGCCACACCAGCCCTGCCCCCAGGGCAGGCTGAGCTGGCCACACCAAAAAATAAAGATTTCATTAAAAAAAAAAAAAAAAAAGGGGGCCAGAGAAATGGCTCAGTAGAATAAGCGCTTCCCTGGCAAGTGCAAGGGCCTGAGTTCAATTCCCGGTTCCGCAAAAAAACCAAAAAAACAAGCAAGTTTAAAAAAAAGAAAAAGTCTTGATATTTCTAAACCTGAGTTCTTTAAACCATTCAGTAGCAGGAAAACAATTCTGAAAGCCCCCAAAACCATTTGTCCTATCTAGTTTTTTAATATTTATTTATTTATTTATTTATTTATTTGGCGGAACAGGAGATTGAACTCAGGCCCTCACTGAGCCACCTCTCGGCCCTGTCCTGTCTCCTACCTAGCTGAAGAGTACTACTTTCACCAACTATCCCCAAATGTGTCCCCTCTGGTCACAACTTAACTCCAACTGTAACCCTCTAGTGGAAGGTACAAGATCAGGGCACATGCCCGCAATACCCGGCCATCGCAGGCACAGCTCAGTGCCTCCCGCCCAGCTCTCACTTGTCGCCTTTACTCCACTTCTCTCCACTCGGTGGTCGGTATGCTCTCAGCCTCTGCATCTCCTCCTTCCAGTGAGGAGGAGTTTCACTGCTGTTGTCATTCTCAGACTCTGAGCAGGATCTCGACCGTGGAGGTGTGTGATAGCGCTGTACACAAAAGGAAACAGCTACTTTTAAAACATCCCTCAATTACAGGCAGCGATAGACAAAGTCAGGCAAAAGACCCAAGTTCCTTTACTCTCAGAGGCAATGATTAAGTACAAAAGGATGGAATAAAGCTCTTTTTAAAAATTTGGTCTCTTTTTTTGAAACAGGGTCTTGCTATCCAGTTTAGCCAGTCTTCAACTATGTAGCCAAGGCTGGCCTCAAACTCACAGCAATCCTCTTGCCTCAGCCTCGTAGGTATTGGAATTACAGGCATGCACCACCACACCCAGCTAGAAACAAAGTTATTTCAAACACAAGGCACTCAAAGAGGCTGAGTGGCTGCTACTGGGAGAAGCTGCTAATCCCCTGTAATCCCATACAAAATTTTCCTCTTCAAAGTTTTGACAGCTACATTCACTATACTTAATCATTCAACATACTATTATTTTTCAACATCCTCCTTATTTTACAGTACATCCATCTCAGACTGAAGCCCATCCAAACATAGCTACGAACTGGCCCACAGCAGTACCTTCCCATAACTATGAAATGTACAACTGATTTCTCACAAAAATTTTCTATTTCACCTAAAATCAAATGTAGAATTTTACTAACAGGTTAAAAAAAAAAAAAAAAAAAAAGTCACTGTGAAGTAATTTGCAAAAGGGAAAGTCCTAACACACATACAATGGTGCCCCTTCCTTTGATCTTCCGTCCAGACTTTGACACAGATGGCTTCTGATCACTTACAGCAGGTACAACATCTGGAATCTTCCTAGAAAAAAAAAAAATTGGGATGAAAATTAAAACTTAGCAAACATCAGGCAGTTTTCCCAATTTTTAAATGCAAAATTTAAGTTCCTACTATCAAAAGCCAGCTTCAAAATATTTTGTGACATGAAGACTACTTGAAATTCAGGTTTCAAGTTCTACAATTCAAGTTTTGTAGACATACAGTCACTTCTGTCTGCTCACACACGTCTCGGGCTGTCTGCAGGCGGCAATCCCTGCTTCACCCTGCTTGGGGCTCTAGAACTCGCACAGCACAGCTGCAATTGGCCAGCACTCGGTATCATTCACCTGCACAGCAGTCAGTCTTCAGACATGAAATTTGTGAAATTACACTGCAGGGCAACATTACCAGATGAACAGCAACAAGGTATTCCATGAGAGAACACAAACACTGAACACCTAAGCAAAGTTAAGTGGAATTCCACTATTAGTAGACCTATGTTAAAAGGTTGTTACTCAACTTTTATTATACTTTGTATCTTGTTGATAGAACATTTGTGGCAGGCTAGAGTACATTTCAATTCAAGGCCAGCTTATAGACCATTTGTGAGGTCCTGTTTCAAAAAAATTTTTAGGGCTGGGGAGATAGCTCAGTGGCTTAAGTGAATACCCAGAAAGTGCAAGGTCCTGAGTTCAATCCCTGATATTGCAATAGATAGACAGACAGACAGACAGACAGACAGACAGACAGACACAGATAAAAGGGTAGGGGGATATAGCCCAGTACAAAAGCCCAGGGTTCAAACTCCATTACCCTACCACCACCCAATTATCCTGAGACAGGATCTTGCTAAAATCCTTGCCCATGTTTGGTACTGTTATTAGGATCCTCCTGTCTTAGCCTCTCAGATAGCTGGGATTACACTGTAACCAGTTAGATCAAATCTAAAGCTGCACACTAGCTTTTACAAAGCAGAGAAGTTTCACTGAGCAAGTTAACACTAGTAACATTTACAATGCTAAATATCTAATTAACATGCAATTAATTTTGTATTAGCAAAACTGGAACATCTGTTTTGTCCCTCAAACGAATTGCAAAAGTTTAAGTAATCCTCTATCTAATAACCAAATACTCAGAGCTTTAACAAAAGGCCTATATAGGAAGGTCAGTAAGGGAATCTCCCCAGACCTCCAGTAAGAATCTCTCACCTAACCAACTGGCCTGTCTTTCCTTACTGCTGTAGTCAAATTCACATTCTAAAAGGCAAGTTACCTGCTAGTCATTAATCTGATGTCTTCTATGGAACCTTTCAGAGTGCTCTGAACCTGGGCCTTGTTCAACAAATGAAATTGCAATGAACTGATGCGGAGTTTTTTGGTTTTGTTCTCTCGGAACTGGGGATTGAACTCAGGCCCTTGGGGCTTGCAGGGAAGTGGTTATTCCACTGAGTCATCTCCCCAGCCCCCTGATGAGGAGTTTCTATTAGAGAAATAAAAGCATATCAATTCATCATCCTACTTACGGCTCGGGCTCCACTGGGACAACAGGCACATCTCTTCTCAGTAAAAATCGGTTCTCAGGCACTGGAGGAATCTCTTCTGGACGGACAACAGGCTTTTCTCTTTTAGCATTTGAATCTACTGCTCTTTTTTCATTGGTGTCACTCCTCTCAGAGTGGCTTTGAAAGAACAAACCAAGGCAGCAATTAAGATGTATACTGCTGCTGTTTCATAATAATAAAAGCATATAAAATTGACAATAAAATAACAGCAAAACTATTGACAACTTACAAGTCTCACTCAAAAGGATTTCATAATTTTTTCAGAGAACACAAAAATCAGTCCAGAGTACCACAATGTTGATATGAAAAATGCAGGGGGGTCGTGGGTTAGCTCAGTTGTTTAAGCTCCTGCTCTGGCAAACTGATTCAGGTGCAGGGGATCCCTGCAGTTCGATCCCCAGACCCGCCTTTAAGGCAGCCTGGGGGTGGGGATCCTACTCAACTTTTGGGCCAGCCAAATAGCTCAGCGGATTAAAGTGCCTGCAAGCAGGAACAGAGGCCAGGGGTTTGATCCCCGGGCCTGCTGTGCTGACCCCACCCCTGGGGTAGGCTGAGATGGTGATTGAGACTGGGCGTGATGGCTCGCGCCTACAATCCCAGCTCTTGGAGGCTTTAAATAGGAGGATCACTATGAGTCCAAAGATCTAGTAGTGAGACCCTGAACATCCTGTAGACCCTTCCCTAAAATACAGAAAAAAATTGTAAAATGATTTTTTCTTTTTGAATTTTAGATATTTTCACCTAAAAACATGTAAATCTTTGATATGAAATGTCTATGCTACTATAGATTTGCCAAATTTCAGTTTAGATAGGGACCAGAAAACTAACCTTGTCACCTGTAGATAGCTCACACAAGTCTTCCACCCCAGGCCCTGGGGGCGGGAACAAGCCTCAGGGGTTTCTACTCACACATTTGGGCTCACAAAGAGTTTACTCCTTGGCTCTTCCGAACTGCTGACTTCCTTTCGCCTCCTTTTAGAATGTTTGGCTTTTGGCCTCCTCTTACGTTTCCTTCTCCTACTTCTCTCATGTTCAATTTCACTTTCTGAAGATGATTCTGAAGAGGAAGAGGAACTGGAAGAGGAATCTGAGTCTTCTGAATGTATTGGTTTCTTCCTTTTTTTCTCAAAAACTTTTAATAAATATTAACAAAAATATTAGTACTAGATTCCAGTACTTGCACTTTCAGACTAAACAATGTGATGACTGAGTACTATGTAATAGGCTTACATATAGCAAACTAAAAGTGAAATTTAAGTAAACCTTTTGGAAGGTGATAAAACCATTGCTTACAAAAGACTGCAGCAGGCCTGTACTCTAAATGGGTCAGATAACGGGAAATTAACTAACTACGTAAGTTGACAAACGCAAGGGCTCAGATGGAAAAGTAAATCATAAGAGCAATACAGAGGGAGCAGGGAGAGTGGAGTAGTTCCAGATCGCATCTGAAGGAGCCCCAAAGGAGGGAGGTGCTGTGCAGATGATTATTGACAAAGGTTCTACTGGGAAAGAAGAGCACAAGGCCCCTGCGTGGCACAAGGTGACCATGCTGGGAGGCGGAGGAGGCGGCGGCAAAGAGGCCAGAGAGCTAGACTATCCAGAGCCTCCTAGACCATGAGACTTTAGCTCTGGCTAAGAAGGGAGCTTTCTTTGGTGCAAGGACATACACCAGCGATCACCTGGCTCCTGTAGCAGCGCAAACCACAGGGGCCTATAGATGAAAGCAAGGAGATCAGGGGAAATACTCTTGAGAAAAGATTAGAGAAGAGCAAGGAGTTTGAGACAAGGCACACAGCCATGAAGTCACTGCACAGTCCAGGCCTGCAACCCTGCTGGCACACTTTGGGCTGGCAGCAAGGGGCAATATCAAGAGGAGGGGCTGGAGAGGATGTGCAGACTGGATGTGGGCGGTGGGGCAGAGACCTCAAGAGCCATCTTTATACCCCACAGGCCTTTATTCTACCACGGCAATCTAGGAGTATGCCTACACCTTCAACAATGCTCTACCTGCATCCTAGTTTCCTCTACACTCAATGAGGTCTTACCATCTTTCGTTGATTTTGTGGCAAGCACCCCGCAGTCAATAACTCGCACATCTGCATAAGGTCTGCTCGCAGCATCAGTTTTCAGATTTTCTATTTGTTCGATTACTTCAAAACCAGAGATAACCAGTCCAAAGACAACATGCACCCTGTCACAATATAAATTCAGGTGAGAACTGGCTACTAAGCTGTAAACAGTATCCAAGACAACCATTATAAGTGACATGTCTACCAACCAGAAAGTAAAATCAAAATGTTTGATGTATGAAGCACCCTAGCAAGCTCAAGAGCCTGAGTGCAATCCCTGGTTCCACCAAAAAAAAAACAAAAAAACAAAAAAACACTCTGATGTATGAAGCAAGTGAGGGGCCGGGGAGATGGCTCAATGGAATAAGCGCTTCCCTGGTAAGCACAAGGGCCTGAGTTCAATCCCTGGGTCCGAAAAAAAAAAAAAAAAAGAAAAAGAAAAAAGAAAAAGTAGAAGGGAATAAAGCTTGAAATCCATTTCAAACAGGCAAACATTTGAATCTGGTCTCAGCTTTTTTGCCTTTCTAAAAGTGTTCTGTAACCATTTCCTAGTTAGAAGTCCAAAAACAGGCTGCATCTGGCAGTGAGAAACTTCTTTTATAGTCCCCACTCAGGACTGCATAGCTAGGAAGCCTGCACGTGACCACAGACAGGCCCTTTCAGTGACAGCAGAGTCCTGGGATCTCAAAGCCACCGCACTCATGATCTTCCTGGAAGAGTAGGACCATGAGAGATTAACCCAGACATCAATCAGAGTAACCAGGCAAGTGTTTACCCAGGGGCAACTAGTCTCTCTAGCTGCCTACTCTAAAAACTTCCCTGCATGAGAAGGACAGAAAGCTTACCCATCCAGGTGTGGAGCAGGCTTTGTAGTACTGTGTGATAAACATCAATACAAAGATGAGGTCAAACACGCCGTGTTCAGGTAGAGAGAGTGCAAGGGTTTAAACATAGCATGTGGAGGACAAAGAAGTAAAGATAAAAAGATAGGGGAAAAGTTAAACACAATATATATCTAACACTAAAGACCCCCCAAAACAACAATTGTAGCCATTTTACTGATTAGAAAGTCAAGATTATAATGAATTACAAAATCATCTCTATTAGAGAGCATGTACACAGAATATAAAAAATAGGTTTTATCTCACATATAACCATAGCTATGTAACATATGCATTAAAATTAAAGTTACTTTCAAATCTAAAACAACAAAAACTACATGTAAAAGAACTCAGGATTTTTCAGCATAAACAAAGAAAGCCACCTGCATTTGCCCCATGGAAAGGGAAATGTGCATCGGGCATCTGCCTGTACACTGAGTGAGTTCTGTGGCTTCTCACACTGAGCCCCCTGCGGCTTTAAAGCAGGCAAATCAGGCAAGGGCTCAGCAATCCTGTTCCCCCAACTTCCTGCCACTCTTCTTTCACTCAAAGTGAAATTCTGCCACTAACTGCAACTCTGAAAATAGGATGGTTTGTTTCCCTTCAATCTTTCTGCCAACACTTCTGACAGCAAAGTGATACAGATAATATTACAAGCATCTTTAGAGACCCACAGCCCAGAAAACACTCTGCTAGTTCCTTCTATAATCCCCAACTGTCAAGGAATCATTCTTGAAAGTCTATGGAGGCAGAGCTGATTAATATGCTTTCAACCCTAGCTGGTTCTCCCAAAGCATTTCCACAGACCTTCACACTATGTGAATAGGAGTGTAAAAATCCAAAAGCAGGAGCTGGGGAGACAGCTCCGCAGCATAAGTGCCTGCCTGGCAAGCACAAGGTCCTGAGTTCGATCCCCGGTACCAAAAACAAAACCCAAAGCAGACAATTAAAACTGTACAACACAAGCACCTTAGTTTGTAAGAATGAAAAGTAGATTTGAGAGAAAAAAAAGTCACTAGATAATAGGGCATATTTAGCCAGTAAATTGTATCAGAAGCCCCCATAAACATTTTAACGTTCATTTTAAGGGAATTCTAAGACATGTATGTCAACAAAACACAATTTTAAGTTAATTTTATAACAATGCTAAAAACCTTTGAGAAATAAAAATTGTAATGCTTATACTTACATTAAGAATATTCAGTTCTGTAAGACAACTATAGTATTTAATTTAAAAAAATAAAATGTCAACTTTAAAAGATTGAAAAATATAAAGAAAACTGAGTTTTAAAACAAGTCTTAAAATACTCTTTAGAAGCTTGAGAAGTAGAGATTCAAGCCAATGTAACTATAAAAATTTAAACAGGCAACAAAAACAAAAAGTAAAATAAGTCTAGCAAATTGGTAACCACCAATGCTGAAACATTACACCAGCATCCAGAACAGACATGTGCTTCCTATAGTCCTAAAACTTTCCTGGAGCACAGTGAAAGTAACAGGAAACCAGCACATCGGCTAGACACATATTCCACAGCACACAGGCTAAGGAGTGCACCTGAAAGGTGGCGTCCCACTGTGCACAGGAGCAGGATCAGACATGCGCAAGGACACAGGGAGGTGTCCCGCTCAGGTCCAGTCCATCCCAGCCCCTCACTCAGCTCCACAGGACGGGACCAGGAGATCCCACCGGGCTCCACCTCCAGCCCCAGGTTTTGTTTTTAATTCAAAAGAAAACTTGAGAATAGGCAGACTCGATCCTTGATTGCAGGAATAAAGAAAGTGAATAGAGAATAGATTCTTCCGTTTCACCTGCCCAGCCTGACTAAATGGATGTGAATAATTCACCTGTGTCTGCAGTTCAAGATACAGAATATAAGAGTATTTCAGTTGAGTTAGAGTACGTATTAAAAATACTAAAAATATTTAAGAAGAAGCCCTCTGGGAGTAAAATCCCAATGTTAAGGCAGGCTTATGGGTACTGGGCTGACAGTCTACATGGATAAAGAATATTAGCAAAATCACAAAAGAGGGTGACGAAAGGGCAGAGGGAATGATCTGCTCAGCCTCACGACTAAACTGGGCAAAGACAGCCCATCACACTCTGAGAGCATTCATCTTTCAAAACTATGCAGCTCTTTAAAGAACCATGCAGTAGTGACAGACACCTGGAAAATAAGACCTTAAGAAGGCCAGAAACTAACATGAATGTGTACATTTCTATACAGTTATTTAAAAATACCTAAAGGAGAAATAGCCAAAGAACATTTTAAACACTTGCAATATTTACACATTTCTATTTTCTCTTGTAATGTATAGACACTGATTTTCTAGTTTCCCCCACCCAGATCTACTTTAAAAATACATGAGCAAGGTCTAATGTTCACTTAAACCTTATAAATCCTAGAAACTGAAAAGTGTTACTGTTATTCCAAAAACAATCTAAATTTTCTGTCATTAGTAGAGACAGTCTTGGTCTTATGCAGAAATTACTAGTTTCACACTGTAATAAGATCTAAACCCATAAGTATAAAATATAATCCCACTTTCCCAAAAGAAGATTATAGAAAAAAATTTAGCACAAACAAGCCACTGAAATTAAGATGCACGTGTCAGGATGAACCATGACAATAAAACACACTTGCTGTACACGTACTGCTGCTGTACACACGAGCACAGAGCTGTTTGTCTTAAATGTTTCAATGCATTATAACAACAGAATTAAAGAGAAAAAAGCAAAGAAAGAGAAAGAGCCTTAGAGTAATGAGACATTACCTTTGGAGCGCACGGTGTAACACTCTTTCTGTAAATTTTACACAAAAATGGCAAGAAATAAATTGTAATACACTTTTAAGACAAGACTGAATCTATGTTTTAATATCAATATAACTTTGAAGTTAAATATTTTAGAGTTTTATGCAAAGTGCGAAAGCTTCTTAAAATGGAGGGCTCTAAACTTTCTTTCACAAAAGATATTTATGTAGAGATGAAACATGCTTAAGAAAAGCCTTATTGTAACTAAAGTAGAATCTCCTCAGACCCTTACTACTCTAGCACAGGGTGCCAAGAACAGCTAGTAACAAAACATGATACTTCCTTTCACAAATCCCAGAAACTCCCTAAGAAGACTAACATAAAAATCTGGATGCCCAAGAGCAGTTACAGTTCTACTAGTCAAAGCAAAACCTTCAATAAAAAAGGACTGAGTTAAGATAATTCAAAACAAAATTTCAAGGAACTTGTTACTAATTCCCTTCACATAGTTAAAGAGCCCTTATACTCCTACGTTTGAAATCTTTTTTTCAGCCACACACCAAACCAAAACATTTTCAGGAATTAATGAGAAAATATCTGGACTGGAGTTACTGTTCACACCTACAATACACATTCTGAAATTTATAAATCACTAAACATAATAAAGGAATAATAAAGTAGCATAAATGAAATTTTAGGGATCTTTTCAGAGGATATAAAGGGAAGGGAAAGTATCAGTGTACTATCAAAATTTGGCTATGGCTACCATACTTTCTTTTCTTGTCTGATATTCCCCATTAAAAAGATATCTTTTCTTCACAGAACATATACTGTCTGACTGACATACTATTACTCAGACCAGAAGCCCTACTATAGCATAGACAAAATGCCTGACTGAGATTTTGGACATATTACTCTTGATCTTAGCCAAAGGCCAAGAAGTGATGAAGTTTTGCACATACTAAATCTTAAAATATTAAAAAATAAGCATTACCTTCTTATAAAGGCAATGATACATGACAAAAGAGGAGTACGTTTGAAATAAGGTACCGTTTTCAAGGTAAAAAAAGTACTCTAAGGTAAAACAGTACAACAGAAAGGAGCTAAGACAACATACCCTGTCTCACTCAGCTCTGACATGCAGTCCTTTCGTTCAGCTGCTAACCCTTGCCACTGTCAAGGAAGGGGCTCCAAGCTGCATACTACGACGCAGCTCCTATGAGAGCAACTGGAAATTCACTCAGTCACAAGCTCTACTCATGTATTCGCCAACGTAGAAGAGCCAATGTCACTACAAACAGAATTTCTTCCATGGTGCTCAGATCTTTGTCACATAAACACTAAGTAACATTAAGCTTGGATGTTAGGGTTGACAAAATACCAAGGGAAGTTGCTCAAGATTAAGTGTCACAAACACAACTGCCCAGGAAAAATCCTGAAATTAAAATATGAAGGTTTTTTACCAACACCTACAAAAATGGGAGGAATGGAAAACCCCCTCTCACACAAACTTATGAATGTGGCTGGAAAAGGCACTTCTACCCCAGTCTACTTTGGCTATCTCAGACGTTAGCACTGCTTCAAAACTCCCTTCAAACTACCACCTTCAGGGGCTGGGGGAGATGGCTCAGTGGAATAAGCGCTTCCCTGGCAAAGCGCAAGGATCTGAGTTCAGTCCCCGGTTCCGCCAAAAAAACCAAAAACAAACCAAACAAATTACCAATGAATATTCTGCTCATTCATCTGCACAGCCACTTGCAAGGCTAATTTCTAGGGATAGAAAACATAGGACTGTCAGGATCACACAGGGCCCTGGGCTTATCCCCCAGCACCATGCCTCCATCCAAACATGCTTGTTTGAGACAGTTTTTCTATATGTCCAAGGCTAGCCTAGAACTTGTGGTCCTCTTGCCTCGCTTTCGAGATGTATAGATCACTGTGACCATGCCAGTGGACAGGGACAAAGACTGTCCTCCAAAGCTCTGCAGGTCTCTACTCCACAGCTTGTGTTCTGAGACCAGCTGCCCTCCAGAAGCCGCCCACCTTTTTTTTTTTTTTTTTGTGGAACCAGTGATTAAACTCAGAGTCTTGCACTTGCTGGAGAAGCACTTATTCTACTGAGCCATCTCCCCACCCCTCCCTTTTTGTATTTAGTACAGGGTCTATAGGGTCTCACTACACAGACTGGACTCATAGTGATCCTTCTGTCTTCAGCCTCCCAAGCGCTGGGATTATAGGCGCGCACCACCACGCCTAGTTGCAGTGTGCTCTGGTGGTGGGGCCAGCACAGCATGCCAGGGATTGAACGGAGGTCCCTATGCCTGCCTAAGCAGGAGCTTTAGTCCACTGAGCTATCTGGCCGGCCCCAGGAGCCACACTTCAACCTGCTAATCATCAGCCCACAGTTAGCAAATCCTTCAGGCAGAACAATGTCTGCAAGGGAATCACTCCTTCCATGACCATCTTTTCACAGTGAAAGTAAATGTTTAGTTTACCAGAAAGCACAGATACCTTATAAGCAAGGAAAGACAAAACTAACTCAAGATACAAAAGAAATAAAACTAAAACCATGGCTTCTTGAAAGCCAGTTTAGCGTCCCAGTCCAGAAGAGCTATTACTATAAACCCAATCTTCCTAATTACTATTTTACGTACTGTCTTATCTTTTAATGAATATGTATGAAAATGAATGAGAACTAAAACCAGAATTACTGCTACTACTAACAGAAAAGGAAAAGAATATTTTCCCAAGTGACATTATTTCCAGCAACATGCTTGCTACTTTAAACATATAACAAAAGCAATTCAGAGCAGAGGTTAGTTGTTCAGTTTACAGTGCACAGCACCCTCTTTCCAGCAACAGCTACTCCCGGATTATGAAGTTTCTATCACTTAGTCTTCACATCACTTTTCTTCCTTTTTCGCATCACCTATAGAACTAAAAGCATGTCTGACCTAATCTCTAAGTCTTTCTCCACCCTAATAAAACTATACTTCTATCACCTTTTTAATTTTACAGCGCAGGGGATCAAATCCGGGGTCTCTACTAGGCAAGTACTATACCACTAAGGTACACCTCCTTCCCTATAGCTTTTATTGTATTTTCTTCCTAATCTTTGACCTAAAAAATACCTAATACTAAAGAAAACTAAGTAAGTAAATACTGAGTTGACTTGGTAATAATTTTGGTCTCAAGCCTTAGAATGCCTTAAAAAATGCTTTGGTGGGAACACTTGTTTCCTGAGTGGCTCATGGGGAGTGCCATCTTTCAATTCCTTTACATTTCTCAGGCAGTTACCATTCAAAAAATTTTTTTCTTCTACAGAAGCCCCCAAAACAAAATCATTGTGACTAATGCAATGGTAAATATAAATAGTTACTGTAAAAAGGACGAACCACTTTACAGAAGAAAATCTGATCTTCATCATGCACCAGTCATTTCATTCAAACAGTCATAATGCAAAACTATGCTTAATATAAACAACACATGCCTTAGGAAAGGCAGCTGTCAAATGGGTAGATAAAGAAATCAATGCACAAAGCACAGGAACTCTTTTATCAACGTGCAAATGCACACACTACAGCAACAAATAATCCTTGGGAACTACAGAGTAACAGTTTTATAACATAAGCTACAAGTGCAATATTGACAAAAAAAAAAGTAGTAAAAGTCTTGAAGTCCTAATAAGGTTGGGGAGATAGCTCAGCAGTCTAAGTGCCTGCCTGGCAAGCACAAGGACCTGGGTTCAATCCCCAGCACCACATGCTGTGCTGGCCTCAGAACTCGGCATGCCCTGCTGGTCACTGAAACCAGGCATGTCTGTAATCCCAGTGCTGGGAAGGCTGAGACAGGAGGATCATTACGAGTCCAAGCTGCATAGCAAGACCCTGTACCAATATAAACAAATAAGATTTTTTAAAAAACATTTTAAAGAAAAAGTCCTAGTAAATCTATAAAACAGGAACTATAAAAGCAGTTCTTTTTATTTTACCATCCATTCTTAACACTATCCTTTCCAGAACTGCCACTCACAGGGCACCTAAGGAGCTGCGGGGCCAGAATAAAGGCAGGTGCTACCCCTAGGGAGACAGCAGAAAGCTCTGTGCCAGTCACAGCTAGTATCTGCAAACAAGGTCCAACCAAGTGCATTGTTCTTTCAGCTCCAAAAGGATTTGGGCTTGCAAAGGACTTTCAAAGATATCCCTTTCATGGGCCACACCTTCATTTAACTCACCCTTTCAGTAAAAGGATATGTTTTGTAAGTAATGTGAAAGTTTGATTTTTATCATGCAATGCATGATAATTGGTGTTTTCAACCAACATAAATACAGACACAAAAATTTCTTTTAAAAAAGAACGATGAGAAGTGTGTGTGTGTGCATGTGCAAAAACAATTACCTTGGCCAGGGAGATGGCTCAATAGAATAAGCGCTTGCCTGGCAAGCACAAGGGCCTGAGTTCAATCCCCAGTTCCACCAAAAAAAAAAAAAACAAAAACAAAAACAAAAACAATTACCTCCACCTAAGACTACTTTTATAATTACAAATTTCTTTCTAGAAGTAAACTTGAAACTAAAGTTTGAATAAGTTGAAAGTTGAAAAAATTTTGATCACAAGTTCACAGCAATCGTAGTGCTATCTATCTATAGTTAACAATGAAAACAAACTGAATTTTACATCCTAGCTTACTGATGTAAAACTTCATTTAACATTCTTCTTCAAAAACTAATGGCATATGCAAGTACTCAGGAGGTTAAGGGAGGAGGGACACCAGTTTGAGCCAGACCGAACAACTTACATCTCACCTCACAAAAGCCGAAATAAAAAAACAAAAACAGTGTAATGTAAAATTGGACCATGTAGAAAACAATATGGCCTTTATTAAACATTCCTAGAAAGACTTAAACACTAAGTAACATAAAGACAAGACTATCAATCTCTAGAAATACCTCCATACTAGATTTTAATTAATATATGTAAATGTGTTAGTTTTAACTCTAACATTTTACAAACAAGCGAATCTGTATTAACAATGGCAAGAAGCTGCTGCTACCTGATAAAATTGTAAATGTAATGATATAAAAAGGAAATCTAAAAGAAACTTTAGAGCCCTCGGTAGCTTCTTGACCAATGAATCATTAGTTTCACAGTTCAGATAAGCTTAAAAATGGAAATGGCAAACCCCAGAGTAAACAGCTACTACACAAAGTCACCATGAAAAGTTTCTAAATATTTCTCTCTACTTTTTACTGGCCCTCTAAGAAGATTAGGAACAGAAAACTATTGTAGCAAAAGGTCTGATAACTAATAATCTATGAAACCAAGAGACAGGAATAACTGTCCTGGGCTTTTTTCTGTGTAGCTCCAAGCAAAATCACTTCCCATGACTTTCCATTTTTAGGACATCCTAAGAAACAGAATGTCCCTTATCTGAACTTTACCATATCATATTGGAAATCTACTTCTCAGACAAATTTAAAATGTGTTGTGCTTTTTTTAAAAAAATAAATCACAGATAATTTACTCCTTTAAAGACAGGGAAGCGCCATTCATGCTTACTCATTTAGAAAGATGTCAAAGAAAACTTTATCTGATAAATTATAAATAAAATATTTCTCTAACATATATAGCACAACTGAGATTTACTTCTAATCAAAAGCATTAAACCTCCTGCTGGATAATCATCTTATTTCGTATGATGGGATTGTAATACAGACAGATTTGGAAGTAACTTTAGAAAAGAATATAGCCAGGGATGGTGGTGCATGCCTATAATCCCAGGGGAAGCTGAGGCACAAGGACTGCCCTGTATTCAAGGCCACCCTGGGCTACATAGTGAGTTCAAGGTCAGCCTGACTGCATAGTGAGACCCTATCTCAAAAAATAAAAAAGATTACATATCTCAAATATGCCAAAGGTCTTCTTCAGAATTCTCAAATGAGAAGTTTTTAGTTGTGCATGCATGTACAACCATGGAAAGATACTGTATTTTACAAAGCGAACTTAACAGTCTCAAATTCCCTGAGGGATAATCTCATTACAAATTTTGGCAGAAGTGACACGAACATTAGGTTAATTGAACTATGCAGAAAAACCTCACAAAGTTTTGAACTTGTTAAAATGCTGCCTCAGTATCTCCTATTCCAATATAACAGCAGAAAACAGTACCTTTCTCAAAACTGGCTCAAAGAGCAATAGTAAAAAAGAGAAAGGACAAAAAAAAAAAAAAACAAACAAAAAAACATAATGGCTTACTCAAACCAACTGCTTTTCACGCCAAGGGTATTTCTGGTCCTACACTATGAGCAATTTTTAAATGCTCTTCAATAGTTTATGCTTAATCTAGGTTTTATAAACCGATCCCTCAAATTTGGTAGGGGCTAAAGCCAGTTTTTCTTCCCATGATGAAATATATTTTGAAAATGATATACATCTTCAAGTTCTATTTTTCTTTTAGTCCATTCTTCAAATCCAGGATATATGTTCAATGCTGATGTTAGAGATTACCAGTTACCCTATAACATCAGAACAACAAAAACCCATGTTGACAAAACTTTAGCATTAAAGTTGGTTTAACTATACCATCTTTCTCATGAACAGCGCTTCTCTGTTTAGGAAAAACTTAGCTCTGAATTACGCCTACTCACATGAAAAACTGGGAACCATTGGTATGTTTCCCTCGATTTGCCATTGACAAAAGGAACGCTCTGTCATGTTTGAGAATAAAGTTTTCATCTGTTTGAAGAAAACACAAATTTGTCAGTTTCCAATTATAAACCACTTCTAAGGTAATGTTTAAGTAGTAAATAGAAAGCAAAGGATGAAATCTCTCTTCTTGTCAGTACAGATACTTCACAATATTTAGAAAAAAACTTTTTAACTAATCAAACAACAAGAGCATAAAAAGGCCAAAGGATACTAATTAAAGCCTTGAGGAAAAGAACATGTATTTAATACTTTGTACAAACAGCCTTAGAATAGTCACTTTTAGTAGTAACATTTTTTGGTTAAATGAGATATAAACTACCAACTTCCAGAGGAAACTAGAAGGAATTTTTAGAAAAATTCCTGTAGTAAAGCCTATTTCCTCAAAATTTTTCAATTAGTCTGATAAACTGATATTCTTCTCCTGTGCTTCATGTTCACTGGCAAATTTATTATTCAACTGAACGAAAGCTGTACTGTGAGAGTAGAAAACACAGCAGGTTTTATGGGTATATCTAAATTCAGTCTGTGGGGATAACAAGGAAGAAAATTTTATAAAAATAAAATTTAAAGAACAAAATACAACTTTAAGGTACAAAAGTATCACAGGGAACAGCACCAGTAAAGTGGGCTATAACACTGAGTTCAAACTGCTAAATGCTAATACAATCAGCTAAAAAGCTGCTTCCTACCAGGTCAAGGAAAAACTGGCCTGAAGATCACTTGGAGATTATTTTAATTTCAGCAAAATGTCTTTAAAATTAACTTAAGTTTCCTGTTAATATTCATAAAAGCAAATTTTTCTTTAAAACAAACAGAAACATAGAAAACTTTGAAAAATGATTACCTTGGGAACAGCCTTCTGAAAAAGAGTGGTAATCCATTTTCTCCCAAAGGAAATATAAAAGACTATTATAACACTGAAGCTTTTTAAGTATCAAAACCTAGTAATATTGGATCCCATTATAAATCTCTGCAACTGACTCTTCTAAGGCTTTTTGGGGCAAGTGCAACAGTTAGATTTATGCAAATGCTACTACTATAGAAATAAAACACAATCATATAGTTCCAGTACACAAAAGAAAACATACAAACCTTTGTTTGAGAAAGGAGAAAATACCAACTTTTATTCAAAGAAATTGTGTGCTTTTGGGAGAAAGAACACAACTATATTCTTTTCCCTCACGTAAAACTAATAACCAGTTGGGAAAAGAAAAAAGATACAGATGCATGTATGAAGTAACAATTTCCAAGTCTTCAAGCAATATAGAAATCCGGACATAACCTGACTCAGACTGTCCATAAATTCATTAGGAAGGGTGCAAGGAAACAGAATTGGAGTTTGTGTTACTGAGCTTTGTTCTCTTACCTTTTCATTTTGCAAAAGACCACATTCTCTATAAACAAAAGAATATGTTGACAGTTTTAGGCAGGAAGATAGGAGTTTTCATGTATAAAGTTGCCTAACCTCCATGCTGAAAGTCATGTTTAACCATAAAGTTAGCCTTAATTAATCTTGTCAATTTAAAGTTACACATAACATATAATTTATCCCCAAATTCATGCAAATAAAGTATTTCCATGCAAGCATTAGTTTCATGCAAAAAGTGAACTATAAGTAAACTTCTTGTCATTAAAAGTATATGTCCAAACTTGCTTTAATAACAACTGCAAGAAAAGACCATAAAATACTAGGCCTTACCTTTAAAATATCCACCATAAATGGATTCTCCACCTTTTCCATTACCTGCAAATGAGTTGCATTAAGTCACAATGAAATGAAAAATACAATAATACATACAAATTACTTTGATGGTTTCAATTTACTAAAGGAAACTTTGAGCCTTGCAATTGCTACAGATGGTCATATTCTGAGTCCTAAATTTTATTTTCAAAATATTATAATAAATACTATCAAAAAGTGATCTCCCCAACCACTTATTTGAAGCAGTACCACATCAACAAAATTTAAAATAAATGCACTTAGACAGAACTCTGGCATTCAATGTCAGGGAATTCATCAAATTATTACATAATAATCCTATACTAAATTACATAAAGCAAAACTAATCTTGTAGTTTACTTTTTCATATGTTCTGGAATTAAAACATTTATTCACCAAACTATGCACTGATCACATATTTTTATGACTTTGTGATATAATATTTACAATTAATAGTAACAAGACATTAACAGCATTATTAGGAACATAACTTTTAGCTCTACCTTCACTGAAGTCCCCACCCTGAATCATAAAGTTTTTAACCACACGATGGAATGTAGAACCTTTATAACATAACTTCTTTCCAGTTGTTTTCCCAAGGCCTTTCTCCCCTGGGGGAAAAGAAAAAAATAAATATAGCTACAAACCCATCCTTTTATAGAAAGAACTTCCTAATTGCTGGGCGCTGTATGAGACCTAAAAATAAGAGTGAATGGAAATCAATATGCACGCGTGCGCGCACACACACACACACACACACAACCAGAAAGTAAAGCCAAACAGCACCAGAGTGTTGAGTGGTATGGTACAGGCTGCATGCTACAGATGGTATATTTGCTTCTCTAAAGAACATAATCAGAGAAACTGGTACAAAAATTGGGGAAAGGTGTACTGTATATCCAAGTATTGGCTTTAAAATATTAGTCTGCTATTTCTAATTTTAAACTAAGCCTATCTCCATTTTTTTCTACTTATTTAGAACATAAAACCAACTACATATACTGAATAATTTCATTTTGCTTTGCCTTTTCACCTTTTAGGCCTAAATTTCTTGTGCAATGTGCAGATGCTATAGCTGTTAAAAGTACTGAAATTTGTACAATTCTACCAAGACCAGTCAATTCTGAATATGTCTATTATGTCATAAAGCAGTTTTACTTTTTTTTTTTTTTTTGCAGAACCGGGGATTGAACTCAAGCCCTTGCACTTGCCAGGGAAGCGCTTATTCCACTGAGCCATCTCCCCAGCCCCAGTTTTACTTTTTTAAGACTATATATTTTCTCTTAAACAGATAATTTAATTTCATAAATAGGATAAAAAACATTTCTTGTTGCAACACAGTTCACAGGCCTCTTATTTACATTAATTTTACTGAGAAAGAAGTAGCAATGAGACAGTTTCAAAACAGGTGAGTAGGATAGTTACAATAATTAATACACTGCATATTGTGGTTTGTGTAGTATTCATAGTACAAAATGCAAACATGCTATCCTGTTTAAATGCTATTAGTTTAAAACTTTCTTCTCATTGAACTAAGAGAAAGTAGCTGTATATCTATGCTATTTTGTATATACTTTTTTTTTAAAAAAAAAACAAAGTATCTATTCTGTTAAACCAAGGTAAAACTGTAAGCCATAATTTTTTATTGGAAATAATTTTAAAATTCATTACCTGAGCATAGGCAAAGGAAGTTTTTACATGTTTTCGGACATATGTCTGAGAAGAGCTGAAACATAATGCGACCAACTGAAATAAAATACATGGGGGGAAAGAATAAGCAAGGTCAGAAAATATAACACATGTCCTATGTGAGAAAGAGAATAAACTAGAAGACGATGGATCCCTCCAGGAACAACTGCACATCACATAGTATGACAGTCTGTTCTGACCAGTCCTAGGAAGAAGCAAACACACACATACAGAAAGCAAAAGCTCTGCTGTACATTTCTAGCCTTCTTCCTTTACGCAGAAGTTGTCTGCGGCTAACTTCCTGAATTACATCAGCTACATTTAACACTATTCCATGACTTCAGAAGGCAGAAAGAAAAGAAGAACCTAGCTGGTTCATTGGCACCGTCCGGAACCCCAATTTCTTCAGAGGCTGCAGCACAAGGACTACAAGTTGAGTTCAAGGCCATCCTAGGCTACACAGTGTATTAAAGTCCAACCTGGAATACATAGCAAGACCCTATCTCAAAGAAAAGACTACCTTTTCAATTTGTCTGTTTTGGTAATGCTGGAAATTGAACCAGAGCCTCATCTTGAGCATGTACTCTGAGACGGTGATATATCCCCAACCCTCCTTTGAAAATGTATGAATACATATGTGCAATTTGAAGAATTTAAAAACCAAAGGCAAGATCTGGTGGTGCACACCTGTAATCCTAGCACTGTGGAGGTTGAGGTAGGAGGATCCCGAGTGGGAAGCCAGCCTGAACATGCATCAAGTCATTATATGGATATTCTGCTTAACGTTTGCCCCCCCACTTGGACTCAAGACCCACATTCAGATGTATGATGCAGTATTGTCTAAGCAGCAGTGCGGCCTCACGGTGGCTTCTCCTACAGCTCAGCACTCAGTTTCAGTGAGTGTGTGCACGCCCCAAGACTGTCGTTTTATGTTATTCATTACAGCCCTGCATGTAAGAGCTACGCAAATAAAAGCGAAGTCGTCAAGCTGGAGTTTCCTTGGACCATCTCTTTGTTCTGAACCTCGAAGTGTCCACACTATGCACCGTTCCTCATTTAGTGAACAATGCAGTTGACAACTACTTGCAGAATCAACCCACGTGATTAAATAAGGAATGTCTATGCCAGTAAATGGAAATAAAAACAAAAAGGTCAAAATGTATCAAAAAAGAAACAGATATTGTAACTTCTAGTTATGAAAAGGTAACCTGGTATTAATTCTCCCAAAGTAAACCCAACACTAAAATTGAATGCAGCAAGATATATATTATCAAACATTAGCTTAAACTTGGCTCACCAGTAAAGCAAACAGTTGATGTTCAATATTTTAAATGATTTGCATTATTTTAAAGAAAATGGCCAGACATGGTGGCCACCCGTAATCTTAACTGTAATCACAGTACTTGGGAGTCCAAGGCAGAACTGTTGTGTGTTCAAGACCAGTCTTGGCCACAATGTGAGCTCAAGGCCAGCTTGAAATGCAAACAAACAAACAAACAAAAAACCCTGGCCCCTAGTCGTCTATTTGGGCACATGGTAGCACACACCTGTAATCCTAGTGTCAGTAAGCTGAGACAGGACAGTCTCAAATTCAAGGTCATCCATAGTGAGACTGTCTCAAAAGAAAGAAGGAAAGAAAAAGGACTAATTTTGATATTTTATTTTAAAAACTCAAAATAGAAGATATTCCTGAGGTATATTCCTTAAAGAGAAAATCCATTAGCAGTAGTCTATTATTTTCAGTGACAAGAGGCACAAACTCTGGTTACAAAAAATATTGAAAAGAAGAAAAACCTGTAGTTACACTAAGGGAAAGGTCAGGATGAATGTGCAAAACAGAAGATTCTCTGGCTACCAAACTGATGATAAAACTATAGTGACACTAATCCAACTCCCAACAGTAAATATTAGAGATTTCCATTCCCCAGAATGAAGGAAAGAACCCCTGCTAATTCTCTTTGCAAAGTAATGGTTAGTTGGTTTCCTTGTGTATTTGTAACAGGGTATTGCTCTATAATTCAGGCTCACTTTGAACTCACTTTGAGGCAGCCCATGCTCGTCTCATACTTGCAGCAATCCTCCTGCCTCAGCCTTCCCAAGTTCTGGGATTAGAGGCATGCATCACCACACCTGCCTTTAATAGCTTTTTTGAATGAACAAGATCTAAGGAAAATTTGTTACTCAACTAACATTACTCATAATTTAATGACATACAGTAATTCCTTACAACTAGTTAATACTACTGGTAATATTCTACTTCATAATCACTTGCTACTCTAATAAATATACAGCTCTATAAAGGTAAATCTGAAAACGATTCCTGCAAGCTTTAGCATTGTGCTGTTAGTGGAGGAAAAAAAAAAACAACAACAACCATGGCTAAAGATAAAAAAAAGACACCACGTGGAACTAGTTTCTATACTAATCCCAAAATATTACTCTGAAGATTCTTAAAAAATAAAGAGCCAGCCAGATAGCTCAACAGACTAAAGTGCCTGCTTAGGCAGACGCAGGGATTCGATCCCTGGCATGCTGTGCGAGCCCCCCCCCCCCCCACGCTGAGACAGTGCTGGAGACTAGGTGTGGTGGTGTGCACCTGTAATCCCAGCACGCAGGAGGCTGAAAACAGAAGATCACTATGAGACCAATCTGTGTAGTGAGACCCTGTAGACCCTGTACTAAATACATTGAAACAAAAAATAAAACTAAAAGACTACCAAAGAAAAAACTTAAAAAATGAAAAGAATACCAACATCAGTTACTTTATATTAGAAACTACAGACAACAGAGCACTACCTTTTTTAAGAAATATACTATGAACCACAAATTTTTGCCTACTAAAAGATACACAATAATTAGCTTTTACCCTGGTCTTCTATTTGAAGCACTGGGTACTGAATCCATCCGTTATAATGCCAGATTAAACCTATGTAACTATGGTTGTAAATAAAAAGGTAAATGTTTGAAGTATGAGGAAACAAATTTATGTAATAGTACTAATTTTCTGCTGTTTATACATCTAAACTAATGATTGAAAAATCTAACAGTAGAAAGGGAACAGAATGACAAGTCCTGGACCAATTCCTAAGGATGGGTACTATCACTAGTTTCACCTGTATTTCTCCAGTTTCTTCTCAAACACAAGATACTGTCTTCCCTTTTTTAAAGATAGCACACTGCACTAAATCTTGTCATTTACTTAGTAATACATCATGAAGAACCAGTAATACCTTCAATGCAAGAATAATGTAAATGGAAGGCAAAAGTGAGAAACTACAGTATCAGTAAAAAACAGAGGAGGCTGAACTGGTGATAGGAACTACCTACCCTCATGCTTCCCAATGAGAACCAAGAGGCAATGTGTGCTGAAGTAGAGAGAGGTGGTAGGGCATGGGCATACCTAAATATGCAATTACCCACAGGACAAAATTACATATTTTCCTAATTTCTGTGGTAGGATGGGAAACAACTCATGGTAAAATACAGACAACAAATGAAATTAACAGGAAAACAAACAAAACCAGATAGGCAAGAGAAGACCCGAAGGCTGGGCATGGTGGCGTCATCTATAATCCAGCACTTAAAAGGCTGACACAGGAGGACTGCCGGAAGTTGGAGGTGAGCCTGAATTGTCTAAGGAGACCCTGTCTAAAAAAACAAAACAAACGAAAGGACAAGACTAAAACAGCTCCACAGCATTCTAGCCAGTGCAAGTAGATATGAGGTTTACAAATTGGAAAACATTTTACTGAAAAACACTAAATATGCCACAGAAAATTCAAAAGAACCACCTGAAATATTAAGAGACTAAAATTGTTTATCTTATAACCAACATGGACTGGAATAATGGAATATAATATTCTCAACATCTGCAAAAGAAAAAAGACCTAGCTACTCAAGTGTGCATGATCTACTAAAATAAAACTACAAAACTGAGAAACATTAAAACCTACCTGAATAGGGGCCAGGGAGATGGCTCAGTGGAATAAGCGCTCCCCTGGCAAGCGCAAGGACCTGAGTTCAATCCCCAGTTCCACCAAAAAAAAAAAAAAAAAAACCTACCTGAATAAAAGAATTACCTTGTTCTTGGAAAGAAGACTCAAAATTACAAATATATCAAATTTTCCCTAGAGTAACAGATAACTTAAATAAAGCCTTCCAAAACCACTACTGAGGGCTGGTGAGATGGCTCAGTGGTCTAAAGCACCTACTTAGAACAAGCTTAGCAAAGCACAGGGACTGCGGTTCAATCCCCCAGCACCACATGCCAGCCAGCCCCGGTCCCTGGTGGGCTGAGCTGGCCCCACACACACACACACACACAAATAAATAAATAAATTAAAAAAAAAAAAAACAAAAACACTACTGAAATCTCTATAGGAACTTGAAAAAAATGATCCTAAAGGCTACCTGAAAACACACACACACACACACACACACTGTCCCTCCTTCATTTTATTTTGAAATTTTAAAATACACAAAGAACTTTTGCCAAATCTATCCCCTCTTCTCCACATAAGATTTTCCTGAAGTGACTAAAAGATAAAAGACAGAGCACTTTACCCCACGTTACTTCCAGCATATACTCCTGAAAACTAAAGGTATGGTTGTAATTTGTATCTGGATATCCCCCAAGGCTTGTGTGCACAGGCGCAGGGCTTCTGTGAGGTGAAGAGATCTTGCTGGGAACATGACTAGAAAGAGTGTATCTCCCCTTCTGGCTCCTCAGTCCCCCTGCTTCCTGGCTGTCTGAGTTGATGAGCAGCTTTGATCCACCAGAACTCTCTGCCATGTCACTTCAATCTGGAACCAGATGACCACAACAGGACTAAGGAAACTTCTAAACCATGAGCCAAAATAAGTCTCTCCTCTGGTGAGTTTCTGGTATAGAGAATCTTGTATTAGCAGTGAAGAAAGTGACCGAGACAGGTACTCATGTACTTTATCACACCCAAGAGACACAACTTGCTAACAATACAGTTGAACACACAATTTTGGCATAACTAGAAATACTGTTATTTGGTTGTTTTCCCAGCTCCTGACACAGTGCTCGTAAA